TTCTGGAAAGATCAAGCTGTTAGGACTCTATCAGACTTCTGGTAGGAACTGAGAAATTCCTCAGATCAAGGAGCCATATTTCAAGAGATCTTAGCTCTAACAACAGTGCAAACAGTTAATAAATCTCAATATTATTTTACAAATTTGAAATCAGCAGGAGACAAAAAGAGAATGGTATTCATGTCACTCCAACAGGAAACATCAGGCAGATGCTGAATTTCCTTATAGCCTCAGAGTATCATTTTAATTATACACACACTACTGTCAAGCCTGCGCTTTGTCTATTTATTAAAAACGATTAAAATAGTAAAAATTGTATATCACGCTTGCATTATTTATGACAAATCATGTCTAATTAATTCAGTGAGGTAAAATTAAACCTTTCATAACTGTTTTTCCAACTATACACAAAAGATCATCTACTCTTTCAGCCACAGCAATGTAACATCCTAGAGGATGTTTCCTACCGCTTTATCTACCTGTCCTTCGTCCAGCATTGCAGAATAATGCCCAGTTCTGCTTGCACTGGGTAAATGCAGGACACTCTTGGCATGGGCTCATTAGTAAGATGAGAAGGAAAGTGTTCATAGCTCCTGCTTTGCCAGGCCACACAGCAGTTTGTTCAGATCAGCCCATTTTCAAATAAAAAAAGAGATAGAGCTCCATGCTATTTAATGCTAAAGATGCACTTAAAAGCAGCACCAAAGGAAATGAGCTCAAATGTCATTACTATGCCAGATGTCCTATCTTCTTCCTCTATTAATCACATTTGGGCTGGTTCCTTCTAGGCTGTGTAAGGTTAATCTAGAACTAATGATTTCAGACCGCTGAATATCGTCTAATCTAGGATGTCACTGAAGAAGGTTACATACATCGCACCAGAGGCCCCCACTGTCAATACTTGAATATTTTAAATTGAAATTGCCATTTCCAGTCAGTTGCAAGTCAATTTGCAGTAAGATCTCTCCCCTCAAAATTGACTAGATAGATTTAAGGTCATATTTTTTTTTCTTTTTTTTTTTCTTTTTTTACTGACAGCAAATGGCCTCAGCAATACAATCACTGCTACAGTAGTAAAGCTGTTCATTTTTTTTTGAAAATTGAAGTACTTTGAATCAAAGAAAATAATCACTAAAATAAAGCTCTGAAGAGTTTTCTATTAACAGAAAAGGTTGTTTGTAGTTATGACCTTTGGCTTAACATTTCTGGAAATCAAGACAGCTCATATCATTGAGAGTTCTTAGATGTTCAGAAAGCTATTCATTTTTTTTTTGAAAGTTGAAGTACTTTGAATCAAAGAAAATAATCATTAAAATAAAGCTCTGAAGAGTTTTTTTTAACAGAAAAGCTTGTTTGTAGTTATCACCTTTGGCTTAACATTTCTGTAAATCAAGACAGGTTATATCATTGAGAGTTCTTAGATGTTCAGATAAATTTGATTTTAAACATTTTCATTCTCTCTGGGTACCCTTGATATGACTGGGAACATCTTACATGCAGGTCAATACTCGAACATTCACCTGTCCTGAGTGAAGCAGGACATGCAGCAATTCAGCTCACCCTGAACAACTTCACGTTTTTATTTTTCCCATCCTGTCTAAACAACACAGGGAGGGAACAGGTAAAGAGTCATCCAATGAACAACATATCTCCATCCCATGACAATGCTAGAGCTGACTGGTGATCCTACACGATGGACTATAAACTCATAGGTCCAACAGCAGTACCAGAGGCTTCTGCATATGACTGCCTGTCTCAAACACCAGTATGCAGGGAGGGTTTTAAGCTGCTTTTACCATCTATGTCTTAATAAGTGTCTCTTAATATTTCTGAATTTCTTAATAACTCTTCCTTAATAACCGGATGCAAAGGAACGAATGGCACTGGGGTTGTGCTGGAAAGGGATCATTATGCCCAGAAAGGAAGGAATTTATAAACCGTATCTAACCAGCAGAATGTAGATTTAATACAGAATTTAACTCCTCCTTCCTTGCAACTTAAGCACAATCATGGATGCTGCAATAAATTAAAGCAATTTTAGAAACAAGACACAACACTGTGAGGAACACATCACCCATTGTGTTATCCCTCTACAGTGAGCTTTGAATGCCACTGAATGCTACAAGAGGATCATGCTTTGGAAGACAAACATGAAATGTATTTACATGGTATTATACTGAATAAACGTTGCCCTTTTTTGTACTTATTACTAGTTCAACCCCTTGTCATTTGTTTCTTTTTTTTTCACTAATTTATCTCAAATGCTTTCTCTTACACTGAAAATTTCAGGCTTAAATTTTAAATCCAAAACATATTTTCTAATATATTTCTAAGTCTTTTACCACAGCTTTAGAAAACAGAAGGAAAAAATATTTATATATTTACATTAAGAAGCAAAATTAATCAAACACATACCAGAGGTACAGCCCTACATGAGGCGAGCATACTGAATTAACATTACTTGGTGAGGACACAACAATTGCTAATACGTGCAAATGAAACAGATACTCAATATGTAGACTGAGAAAGTTATGGGAAAATGGAAAGAAAAAAAAAGGATTTTTTGCAAAATTGAAAGTTGAGACAGGTATTCATTCAAATATTCACATCAGTTCTTAAAAAGGGATTTCAACACATTAATTATTACCTGATTCACATACTATGGAGCCTGGCTTCAGTTCTAACATCATGGTGATTATAGAGATGTCCGTGGAATACAGAATTTGTGTCCTGTGGGGAAGATTCATGGTCCACAGTTCTGGTGTTGGGTGAAGAATAAACACCCATCCTCCTTTACTGCAGGTCACTTTGGAGCCGTACTTCTTGCCTATGAGATCTGTGGAGTGCCTGATGACCCCGTACTTAGTCTGAGTGACAGAGCCATGCTGGACTTTCACGGGAAACATGGATTCGTGGCCCAGGAACACAATAGCTGTATCACCGTCCCTTATCGTATCTCCATATTCAATGAAACTCATTGTGGCTGCTGGTTTTCACCTGGAAGAGAATAAACATATCAGAGAGTTGTATAAGGCTATGATGAAGCTGCAGCTAGAGATAAAAATAAGGTATTTTACTTTTTCCAGATTAAAGAAAAGGAAAACCACATAAATAAGGTGGTAGCAAGGGAACTCCCCTTTCCCCACATGGCACTGAACTCTCAATCCAGTTAAAAAGTTAAAATCAGTGGAAAAATCCCACTGACTTGAATAAAGCAAATATTTATCTTGTTGTATTATATATTTTGAAGCAAATTTAGCAAATACACTATAATTAATTCAACCTGTTCCACAATGCAACTGGGAAGCTTGCAAGGACATATCAATTTCAGCAGTCTGTTAAATTCCAGCTGACAAGCTCTCAGAGTATGTCGTTAAGCAGTGCCTTTTATTTCCTTCTGCTGCCTTATCTCTTGGTGATTTACAATGCAAGACAACTGCTATTTGCCTGAATATTAATCAGCAGTTATTAGGGCCACTAGCAAAAGTTGACTTGAAAGTTTTTCAAATAAGATTCAGAGATAAAATACAGGCAGCATCTGCATTAATTTACCTATAAATTTGACTAAATGCAAGGAACAAATAGTACTTGAGCCTTCAATTTGCCACTGGGGGTGCAAAGTAATGGTCTGGGAAGTGGTCTGTGCTGCAACTGGATGGAGACAACTGTTTGCAAGCTAATGCAAACACAGTTACATTGTTTAAGCCTGGAGCTGTTTAGAGAATTACAATTAATTTTTGCTGTCTTTGAGCAGAAAACCTGGAAATTAGAAAGCAGGTTGTAATACAGTCTGGCACTGCTTTTCAGATATGGCAGCTACCAAACTAAGCTTTAGCTTCATCAATTTACAGAAGGAATTGTCTAACAAGGTAACGGTGACCCCAAAGTTTGTAGTCTCTGACAGAAAGCCTTGGGAAGTTCGAATTCTAGGTACTACTACCTAGAGAACTAAAAGCAGCACTGTTTTTTTGCTTCAGGATAATGGTTTGATTCCAATGTGGTTATACTGCATGTGTAACTGCCCTGTTGTACTTGTTTTCACTAAAATCTTTAAGTTCTAAATTTCTATTTTTTCTTGACTGAAACTAATTGCAGTTCGATTTGTCTCTAAGCAGCAAGATTTATTTATAATTTTTCTGCTGAAATCATTGATACCAAGAAACAAACACAGTCACAGACAAAACCTCCAAAGCTTATAACATGTGATCACAGGTAATCACATGGCAAAAGCAAATAGGCCCGTCTGGCTTTAGGGTGAAACTGTAAGGACATATTATTAATTCAGAGGTGTAAACACACTGAACTTTGTATGCTAAATAGTCCAGCTATGGCTAATCCCATGCCAGGGCTTGCACCATCTGATTATACTGGTGTTCTTGATCTTTCATAAATCACACCTCTAGTTCACACTGTAGATACCATCAATGAAACATGCAGTTCTGAGTTATTTACAATACTAAAAAACAGCTCAACTGTCATCCCCTTCTGTTACTGTATTCCGACTGCTGTTATGCCAACAGGCAAAAGGAACATTCCCACGTCTGCAGGGACAAAGAAAGAATTACTCTCCCTTTGATCACAGAAACTGGCTCCTAATCTCTTTGCCTTTTTTTGAGCCATCACTTTTATCATAGCTAAAAGCGTGAGACCCATAGCTCTTGGGTACTCACCTGACATGTTATATTCTTACACTTGAGGGTAAATTTGGGCTCTGTGAGGAGTCCCTCCTCCAGGAATCATCACTGTCCAGGTGGTTTTTTTTTGCTTCCCCTATGGCAAGAGGTAACCTACAATCCCTAAACATTTTCATTCAGCAAATTCTCTATTACCACGGGGCCTAATACACTGTTGCTTTCTTCATCTTCTTGGCTCTCCGGCATCACACAAACGTCTTGGCACAGTCCTGCCTTTGCCAGGGGGTAGCAAAAGGGGAGATAACACTGAGGCTTGGGGCAAGGGGCTGGGAACTTCCTATGAGACTTTTATGTTTCCTGTGACAGCAGAGGCCTAGGCCCAGCGACCCTGGTGATCCTTTGCAACCTTAAAAATTAAACCACTAAAATAATTCTCTGTTGTTTTAATAAAGAAATGAATGAATGAATGAACAAAGCACAGATGTCCCCAGGGAGAACATGACTTTGGTACCAAACTCGCAGGGTGCTTCTTCCCACAGGGTTCGGTTCTACGGTGCCACAGGGCTCCCTTCCCGGGAGCAGGCAATGCACAACCACCTCTGTCTTCACCCGCGCGTCCCTCAGGGTCCCTGGCAGGGCCCTGCGACACAGGGGCTCACTGAGACCCGCTGTGCGGCTACCACGCAGCCCCCGGTACCAGCTCGGGTTCTGGTTCG